AGCAGCAGAGCTAATTAAAATCTGGGTGCGTGGTTTCACAATGTGCTATTGCCCAGCAGGCAGAGGTTCTCAGCCTGCTGCCAGTCTGCAGACTGGCGGGGGGGGAGGGTAGGAATTGCTGCCTTAGGGTGTGGCACTGACTGTCAAAAAGAAGAGATATCTTGTGCAGATCCTCTTATGCTAGCTAGCTGTCCCTATTTATGGGGATTTTATTTCTGTAAAAAGCACATTATAATTTACAGGAATGACACATCTGAACCACCATTTTGGAATATTAAACCTGAATAGTTACTACTGACGCGTGGTAGGGAACTCGGGATGAGAGTTAGAAACTGGAGAACATTCTTTTCTCATCAGTCACCGTGGCATGCAACACTGTTTTACACCTTTACAATGAACTAAAATGCTACAGAAAAAAACAAATCCTCTCGCACCACTCACTTGAAAATTTGACCCATTGAAGTTAAATGGCAAGACTTAGCAGGACTGGACCCCTGATTCTTTTTATTCACATTACTGCTGTTGGTCTGATTCAGGAATGCACTCGAGCACATGCAATTGAATTAAGCCCTTCTTCTTCGGAATGTGGTTCATTACAACAATTACACTGTTTAAAATAATTACTGGTAAACATGTTAGCATTAATAAAACAAGTAATATTGCATTAGCATCCAGAGGCCCTAGTCAGGAACAGAGATCTATATAGAGTCTGTGGTGTCCAGCCAGTTCTGAAACTATTGTGGCTAAAACAGGGACAGCAAATAGCCACATGTGGTTAGTGACTAGCAGCTAGCATGTTGGACAGCACGAGATAGACTTACAGAAAAGTATCATCCCTGCCTAGAGATTAATTGGCTTGATAAATTAAGATACCACACCAGATCATTCCCTGGAGCCATGCCTACAAAGGGGCCTCTCCCATTACTGATTTGCTTGCCATCTGTCCACCATTTTAACAGCATGGATATTCCTTGGTGGAGTTTAAAATGTTCAGGTTTTGAAATGGTAGGGCAGGAACACTGGCTTCTGCTAGATTCTTCCAGTCTAACAGTAGAAACAACCATAATACACAACTTTCCCTTATACAGTGGAGAACTGGGCCTTTAAGAGTGGTTCCACGGTAAAAATGAAGCTTCTAGAGGGTCGTCCCCCCCCAAAAAAAATAAACAAGAATTTTGGGAGAGTTCTGGATCTTGGGAGTGGGACCATCAGTCTTTTCTTTGCAGAAGAAGAAATTCTGCAAGTGTCAACTCAAGTGAGTTTTCTCTCTCCTATGTAGGGTATTCCAACATAAGAGAAAGACAGTGGCTTGTAAAACCATTTGTCTCTTTCTCAAACCCAAAAATGGTATGGTCTCTTAACATTTTGGGGAAAATCATAAAAAATTAGAACTGGAAGGGACCTTGGATAGGTTATGAAGAGCAGTCCCATGCACTCATGGCAGGACCGGACACCAACTAGATAATCAGGGTGTTTGTCTACTCTGTTCTTGAATATCTCCAATGATGGAGATTCTATAGTCTAGGCAATTTATTACTTCTTGTCCAGTCATCAGAGGTTAAAGAGAATAATTGTTCTCCTTGTAACAACTTTTTAATTTCTTGAAAATGTTTACCATGTTCCCTCTCACTCTTCTCTTTTCCAGACTAAACAAACCCATTTATTTCAATCTTCTTGCATAGGTCATGTTTTCTAGACCTTTAATCATTTTTGTTGTTCTTCTCTGGACCTTCTCCAGTTTCTCCACATCTTTCTTGAATGTGGGGCCTAGTGTAAGTATAGCGTACTTAGATTTCCAGAAAGCCTTTGAAAAGGTTCCTCACAATAGGCAGTTAAGCAAAATAAGTTGTCATGGGATAAGAGGGAAGGTCCTCTCATGGATTGATAACTGGTTAAAAGACAGGGAACAAAAGGTAGGAATAAATAGTAAGTTTTCAGAATGGAGAGAAGTAACTCATGGTGTCTCCGAAGGGTCCGTACTGGGAACAGTCCTAATAAACAAAATGATCTGGAAAAAGGGGTAAACCGTGAGGTAGAAAAATTTGCAGATTGTACTAAACTGCTCAAGATAGTTAAGACCAAAACAGACTGTGAAGAGCTTCAAAAAGATCTCACCAAACTAAGTGATTGGGCAACAAAATGACAAATGAAATTTAAGGTTGATAAATGTAAAGTAATGCACATTGGAAAAAATAATCCCAACTATACATACAACATGATGGGGACTAATTTAGCTATAACTACGCAAGAGCAAGATTCTTACTTGGAGTCATTGTGGGCAATTCTCTGAAAACGTCCACTCAATGTGCAGCGGCAATCACAGGAGCAAACAAAATATTATGAATCATTTAAAAAGGGATAGAGAGTAAAACAGAATAGCTTATTGCCTCTAAATAGAACTATGCTACGTCCACATCTTGAATTCTGCATACAGATGTGGTCTCAAAAAAGATATGTTGGCACTGGAAAATGTTCAGAAATGGGGAAAAAAATAAATAGGGGTTTGGAACGGGTCCCATATGAAGAGAGATTAAAAAGACTGTGACTTTTCATTTTGGAAAAGAGGAGACGAAGGGGGGATATGAGAGAGATCTATAAAATCATGACTGGTGTGGAAAAAGTGAATAAGGAAAAGTTATTTACTTGTACCTATAACATAAGAACTAGGGGTCATCAAATGAAAGTAATAGATAGCAGGTTTAAAACAAACCAAGGAAGTTTTTCTTCATGCAGGCCCCAGTCAACCAGTGCAACTCCTTTCTAGAGGAGACTGTGAAGACCAGGACTTTCACAGGGTTCAAAAAAGAACCAGATAAATCCTGGAGGATAGGTCCATCAATGGCTATTAGCCAGAATAGGTAGAAATGGCGTTCCTAGCCTTTGTTTGTCAAAGGCTGGAAATGGATGACAAGAGAGGGATCACATGATCATTACCTATTCTCTTCCCTCCCTCTGGGGCATCTGGCATTGGCCACTGTTGGAAGACAAGATATTGGTCTTGGACCTTTGGTCTGACCCGGTATAGCCATTCTTATGTTCTGGAACTGGATATTTTTAAGGATCTAGATATAGAGAGTAAAATTGTGAAGTTTTCAGGTTTAAAAAAGATGTAATAGAGCAGGACACTTACCCTTAATGTGACTTAATGTTCCTTCTGTTTCTTCAGGTTGATATTGGAAAAAGGTATTCCTGTAATGGCAGTGGTCTCCAACCTTTTTAAGCACAAGATCACTCTTTGAATTTAAGTGCAATCTAAGATGTACGTCACACCCAAATACCCTTGCCCCGCCTTCATTGTGCCCCTTCTCTGAAGCCCTGCCCCCTGCTCACTCCGTCTTCCCTCACTTTTATCAGTCTGGGGCAGAGGGTTGGGGGTGCAGGCTCTGAACTTGGGTTAAAGGATTGAAGTGTGAGAGGGGCTCTGAGCTGAGCTTGGGGCAGGTATTCAGGATCCTGGAGGGGGTTCTAGTTGCAGGCTCTAGGAGGGTGTTTGCATGCAGGGGTGTTTGGGGCTAGGGCAGGGGCATGGAGTGCAGGAGGGGGTTCATGACTGCGGTAGGGTTTCAGAATGTGGGCTCCAGCTGGGCTCTGCTTACCTCAGGTGGCTCCTGGTTGGTGGTGCAGTGAGACTAAGCCTCACCCCTTCCCTGTCCTTTCACCACTCCCAAAATCAGCCAGAAAACTCCATCCCAAGTCCTGTTGTGCCCCTTCTCTGCTCTGTGGAGATAGGATACAGAGTGGGAGAGGGAGCACCTAGACATCAGAATCCTCCTCTCTCTCCCCTGCCCAGCTAGTAGGAGGCTTCTGAGGGGACCGCTCCAAGACAAAGGGCAAGAGAAGCACAGCAGTACGTGGAGGGGCAATGAAGTGCTGGCACTTGATAGCCCCTTGGCCGAACCTGTCAGGATCACCTGTCAGAGACTCCAAGATCTACTAGTAGATCCCGATCTACTGGTTGGTGACCACTGCTGTAATGGGAATACTTTGAGGATTTTTATTGCTGGCAAAGGAACAGTTGTATCATAGCCTGAATATTGAGCACTGGAGCGCAGTAATGGAACTCTTTTACAGAAGTAGTCAATTAATTTTGCTATTTTAAATTTAAAATATTAAATGGGAAAAGGGAGGGACAAAATAGGCTATCAGGTTGCACAAAGGCAATTGGGTTTTTAAAAGGTTAAGAACATTCAGTACTTGGTCCGTCACCATTCTTTCTAAAATCCTTTCTTTGCTTCCCTTTCTCCTCCTCTTCTCCGGTTTCCCTTCTCGTGAAATCTTCCCAAAATACTGCTAATCAAAAGTATAGATTCTTCTGTTAGCAATAATGTTATGATGAAAAATGTCTTTTAATATTTTAACTAATCACTGGAGACCCAATTTTGCTGCCAGAGAAGCTAGAAAAACACAATGATGTTTAGGACATGATCATTTCTGTGTGATATTTTCTTTCATTTTGAGACTTTAGTTCTTTTCCCTAACTAGTAATTTCATAATTCCTCACTTGTACAGATGTGACTTTCTAGCACTTACTGCTTTGTGTACATCCTTTTTATTTGTATATATTTTTGTTTATGTACATTTATACTAAGGATTTGAATGGTTAATGGGTGAGGCTTACTGGTTCCAGCTGGCCAGAGCAGCCCCTGTTTGTGATGGGCCTGCGCCTCCCCATCCCCTGCCACAGGCAGGGGCTGCTTTGACCTCCTGGCTGGAGCAGTGCTTGTCCATGGCTCTCTTCCATCCCCCCTTAATCGATTAACCAGTTAAGCATTATGTTTTATTATTAAACAGGCATTAGTATACCAAAAGTATGTATTTTCACACAGTTGTGTCAGTAGAGGCCCAGGGCTGAAAACAAGCTCTTTATTTATGTTGTTTTGATCCATTTATTTATACATTAAAAAACCACTATGTTATTAAATAAATGAATATATTTAGAATTAAGAGTACATGAGTATAATAATATATTAAATTTTATATTCTTTTGTTTGTCTTTCCAGATTTGTTCCTTACAACATTATCAAGTTCCCAACAAATTCAGTTTGAAACATGGGTAAATAAGGTAAGGAGTAAAATAAAGCAATCGTCTTATGCAAAACATAATTTTAAGAAATGTAAAACAAAGAAGTCACCTGATACTGATTTCAAGAATAAACAGAGTTGATAAGAGATCGTAGCTGCACTGTTGCATTCAAACTGCTGAATATTGCTGGAGGAAATGATTCACTCAGCATCAGTTCCTCTGCAGGATGTTAGCATGACTGCCAATTAAACCAATCAATCTGCCCTAATGCACATGTTAACAGGGCGCCTGTTGTGGTGTCAGCTGTTGTAAGAGGTTACTGTCATTTACTTTGTCAGCATGATGGTTTATGGGGAAAGAGCTTTTCAAAGAAGTAATTTTTCCTTGTTGCCTCCAGGCTTGGATATTTTTAGTTTGTTTTAAATGTGGCTAAAAAGATTTCAGGGCAGAAATAAAAGACTTTTATGAGCGAGAGAGATTTAGATGATGCAATATACCCTATGGAACATGTTGTATAGATTATAGTCAAGAAACTCCCATAATTCATAGTATTTTGAAAAAAAAGGAAAAACAAACAAAAGGAATTAATCTTTCTAGGCAAGAAGGCCATTTCTTGACTATCTCCTTTCAAGATGTCTCTATATTAAAAGCTATGATTCGGTTGGCTTGTAACAATTAAGAAAAAGCCATTAGGTAGTCTGAGATTTAAAAAAAAAATGCAATTCAGGCATTTTGCTGAGCGTGGATGAGTAGAAAATTAAATTGGGAATCAATTCTGGTAACAATAGAGACTTCAAGAATTATGTGAAAACATCTAAACAGAGAAATAATTTTTTTTGATAGAAACGTCTGAGGAGATGATGATGCTGTCTCATAGCTTTGAACAATGCAGGTGTTCTTAGTTATTTTGATAGCTATACATTTTATGCCTACTTTTATGTTTCAGAACGAATTAAACAACGTAATGTTTAAAACGGGTGGAGAACCTCAGGCCCTGGGGCTGGATGTTCCAGCACCACAGCCACCCACCCCCAGGAGTGTAGCACATAAAATCTACTAACCTAAGCCCCTCTAGGATCTGGTGTGCCAGGGCACTGTGGGGAGTGTCTTTCTCCTTGTCATTCTGGGGCTTCTCACTTGTGTGCAGCCCCTAACTGATTTTTCTGGGGGTCAGCCGCCCCTGACCCAGAAGAGGTTCCCCACCCCTGATTTAAAACAACCATAGTTGCACTTCTCCTTTCACTTTTCTACCATTACTGCAAGTTGTCTGAATATCTGCAAATGTTAAGCTATTTTTACTAAAAAGTTACTCTTTAGTTGGGATCTTAATGGATCAAATAATATCCTGGCCGTCATGCTTTATTTAGGAAGAGATATTGAAATTACTCCTGTTCTGTCTGATGGCAATATAGCCCCATATTCTGAAGATGTTCAGTCCTCTGTCGGTCCCCTCGTAAATTATAGCAGCTTCAAAGCTGCTCTAATGCTGTTCTGTGCTTCCTGTTTGCCCTGTAGACCTTAAAAAGCAGAAAATAGCTGCAATTCCGTGCCATCCAACCCTGACCCTATAACTAAAACTTGGAACAGTACCACAATAGAGTCTAGAGCCTTGCAAATCTGCTTCATATCTGCTTTATATCCACTGTATCTGCATTCTTTGGTGTGGATGTAGATATCTGTGGCTCATTTTTGTACATACAAAATTTATATCTGCAGCCGTATCTAGAATCCAGCAAATTTGTGGATGTCCACCTTATTTCCACAGATATTCGCATCTGTGGATGTGAACATGGATATCCACAGATCATTTTTGCAGATGCAGATGCAAATTTTGTATCTACACAGGGTTTTATTTATGCCAGGAAAGCCCCTTGTACTGAGTACTTTGAGGAGGTTGTTTCTCACACCTTTACTTTTCCAGAACAGCATTAAAGAATATTAGTATAAAAGTTAGAATCTAGATTCAGGATTATTACTGAGTTAATACTAAAATCTTATCTTTCTGTACTGCAACATGTATGTGCTGCAGCCATTCTACCAAATCAATCAGAGGTCACTTTTATAGTTGTAAATTAAGGCTGTAATAGATGCTGAGTAAGAAATCTATAAAGTGTTAAGTACAATATATGTATTACATTGAATTTTTTTACAAAACTTTTTATGGATGCCTTGCTTAACATGTACATTAGTATGGGAGGACACACTGATAAACTAACACTTACATTTATTGTATAGTATATTTTTAACAGCTTTGCATCAAAATTATTAGAATAAAGATATTCACCCTCTTCATCTAACAATAATTACTTTTGCTTTAAGTCAAAAAAAAGTAAAATGGAGAGACCTGCAATGGTTGATCAAGACTGCATCTTTAACATTACTTCATATTACTTATCATTAGTTTTTCCTGTAATATCAATAATTATATAGAGAACAATATATGCTCCTTTAAGTCCTTAATGGGAAGTATAAAAGTATGCTTTTATGCACCTAGGGCAGGGCTACTCAACACACAGCCTGTGGCCCGTTTGTTTGCAGCCCGTGGTGCGGTTTGGGTTTACACAGGGCTCAACACTGCATCCTGCAGGTAGGAGCCAAAACAAAAGAGGAGTCAGTGGTCTTCTGTTGATATGCATTTTAGTAGTTACATTCCTGGAGTGTCATTGATCATTAGAAGTGCTATCATGTGGATGGAAATCAGGTAAATATTACATTTGATTAATATCAGCAGAACTGACTTGAATGGGGCCTGTGGGTTGTGTAGTCTTTCCTTTATCTGTGTATCCATCCCCATCAGTGTGAAATAAGCTATTTGCATGTATATGCAACCACACTTAAGCTGCGACCCTCAGCTTGTGCTGTGAGTATCATTGTGGCCTAAGGAGCTTCCAAAGTTGAGTAGCCCTGACCTAGGGTATATTTCAATGCAGTTTTTGGTATAGAATGCATGCCATTTTCCTTACCTGCAGAAAATGCAGAGGTGGCAGAGGAGGTGGGCACACAGGGGCACATGCTTATTCAGATTTATGCATTCCATTTAGCAGCAGCTTGTAGAGGTTTCTCAATTGTGCCCCAACATCCCAGGAGAACAGAGAGGAACATTTGAGGAGAAAGAATTAATCCCAGGTGGCTTGGGCCAGCCCGGCAAGACTCAGGGACGAAGTACTACCTTCATATTCAATTCGCTTCAGTAGACCATACAGCCTGTCTGGGTTGGGGGAATGGGTGTGATTAGGGTTGCCAGGTGTCCGGTATTTTCACCTCCTGTCCAGTAAAAAAAAAATTTTTTAATTCCAGACACCCAAAATATTCCGTATTTTCTGTTTTTTTCCCTGCCAGGAGACAAAAATACTGCACACCTGGTAACCATACGACACACTCAGCAACTGGTCCCAGCCCCCTCTTCCCTCCCTCCCCCCAGATCCCCTGCTTACCTGGTTCTGCAGGGAAGCTCCCTTCTTGCTCAACCAAGAAAACAAGATGGCCGTTGGCAAAAAAGCTAAAGATCTGAGCAAGGGGAAGCAACCTCTTCTCTTTCTGAGACTCTACACGCAGTTAAAGGGGCCATGCTCTTGGGGTATGGGTGTTTGGGTTTTTTTGGTTTTGGGGGGGTTTTTTTACTCAATAACTTTGGTCTCAACTTGGGGGGGGGGGGGGGAGAAGAGTTTGGTATTTTTGTTGAAACCATGTGGCAGCCGTAGGTATGATCAAAAATTGTAACTCAGAACAGGAGCTCAGCTTCAAACATTGAAATTGACTCTCGCGCCTTCTGAAATGTTCCTCCGTGCTCCACAATTTGAAAATAATAAAATGTGGTATTTGCCATTGCAGAATTTTTTCCAGAGGAACATACATCCCAGTTTGAAAACCACGGTGATAGCTATCTAATCTATCTTAAGGATATTGTTACCACCACCACCACAAATTTCTATCAGTATAGTATTAGGAAAATGTCCTGTAATTTAAACACGGGTACTCTGACATTTTGGGGAACACCAGAACACCACAGTAAAAGATTCTGTCATGGCCTGCTCTGTACCTTGGTGCTGCACATCTGTGGTTCATATCCCAGACACCAGTCTAGTTATTCTTTGCAAGGTAACAGCAACAGCCCTTCCATTCCAAGTCTCCCTACATCAGTCTTCCTGAGTTCTTAAATATCATATACTGAAGGCATTCTTCTCTGGTTCGTCATCCCTTTCTTTCCCTCCCTTCCCCCAAACAAAGATGTGAAACCAATTCCCCTGTTATCAGTTTGCTTTGACACACACTGCAGTTCACACACCAGATCTACTTGGGATAAAAACAAAGTTTATTTAAGAGAAACATCACAGATTTAATGATGAAATAGTAAGGGAAAGTAAACATATGCAAGTTGCACATAAAATAAGCATAGATGTAACTTTAGGCTTTAGACTCCCACAATAGATAAAATCTCTATTCTACTACAAGTTACCTATTTGCATTGAACAGTTTCTTGGAATGCTCTCCTTGTTATAGGGATGATTTGGTATTCATGGGCAGCTTCCCACATAGAAACTGTTGCTCAGATTTTGAATGACAGATCATGCTTCCAAGGTGGGGATTTTTTAGTGTCAACTGATTCTCTCCCCCACTCTCTCCCCTCCCGTGTCACGGTGACTCATGTAATTCAAAGTGGGGAAATTCTGGGGATGTCTCGGCATCTTTTCATTAATTCTAATATACTTTAATTGTCTTTCCCTGACTTGGACAATGGATGGGCACTGGATAGGTTTCAAGTAAATAATTGGCTTGGCGGGTGTCCCTCTATGACTGGCTACTCACCACACTTCCCGTGCAATGGAGCTGAACTTTGAGCACAGTTTTCTGCATACACAAACACATAAATTCATAACCCATCGTCTGTATACATCTCCCATAATGGCTATCAAGTTCAGAACATTACAAGCTTTCTTAAAAGACTTCACTGAGTACAGTGGCATAGTATACAATCAGTTGATTTAAACCTTTTCTTCTCCTTCTGCGATGTCTGGACTTTCTTTGTGACTTAAACCAGTATATATTTTCATTGTGAGTGCAAAAACATGTCAGCTGTAGAAATTTGGCAGATGAGAATAAAAGAATTAAGAAAAATAGCATTATTCACTGCATATATTAAATTAATTGAACTTTTTCAGGAAAGATGAGGGGCAATAAACTATTTAAACACTTAAAATAAAAAAATCATTAATTTATAATATGTAGATTTACGATAGCCTATAACTAGTGCATATAGGTCTGCTATATTCCTTTGTTTTATGTCTGGTTCCTGTTGTAATACTTTGATTTTTTTTCAACAAACCTGCTCATCATTAATAAAAAAATCTTAAAATTTAGATTACAGTATGTCAAAACAAGTTGTACAAAATGCTTTCTAAATTACTGAGCTAAACTGTGCAACAATACATAAAGTCTGATTAGCTTTGTTTTATAAGGGAGACAATTGAAGCAGAGATCAGTTGTAACTTGACCATGATATCAGAGTGGTGGGGTAATGTGCTCTATAAGGGTGCATCTAACTCGAAATAAGCAACTCCAATTAAGCTACATCAATTGTGTAGCTTATTTCAAAATTGAGAGCATCTACGCAGCACTTATTTTGAAATAGAGCAGTCTTCCTCCAACTTCCCTTACTCCTCATACAGTGAGTGTTACAGGAGTCAGATGAGAAGTCCTCCAGCTTGATAGTATTTCAACATTATTTCGAAATAACTGTCTACTGTGTAGATGCAGACTAAGTTATTTGAAATAATGCTAGTTATTCTAAAATAATGTTGCTGTGCAGATGTACCCTAAGACTGTGATTTCAAAAGCATGTAACATGTTACATGTTAATTGGGCTATATAGAGTCTAGTGGTGTGGATTAATATGGTGCTGCTTGAAAAAATACTATGTTGAAGTACATTAAGAAAACTTATGTGCACCAGTAGGCTCTACACTGATCAATTAATGTGCACATTAGTGCACTTTAGAAACAGCATCTCCAAAGAGGATGGGAAAAATCATTTGAGAGCTATAATTCCATCTCAATGTTCTGATGACTATACAAACCATTGGAACTTTTCCCTCACATTTTTTTTGGTGTCACTAGACTTCTTAAGTGGATTTATATACTCATAATTCAATTTGCCATCTCTACATACAGAGCTATATAGCATATTTAATAAATGTCATTTTAAGCACATTCCCATGCTTTGATGGAATTATCCAGTCCAGTAAAAGATTGGTTCTGAATTACTTACATTGTGGACCAGTTCTGTGTTGTTTTATGGATTTCAGAAGGCTACAGACTACAAAGTTTTAGACAAGAAAAATGCTATTTAGAAGTTACTTACAGAAAGAGGGACCTCCTTTCCTCCTACCTAAAAATCAACATCCACTGTTGAATGGCTAATGGAATAAAATTCATAATAAATACAAGAGTCTCAAGTTGAAATAAAGGTAGAAATGTAGCCGTGTTAGTCTGGGGTAGCTGAAGCAAAATGCAGGACAATGTAGCACTTTAAAGACTAACAAGATGGTTTAATAGGTGATGAGCTTTCATAGGCCAGACCCACTTCCTCAGATCAAATAGTGGAAGAAAATTGTCACAACCATATATACCAAAGGATACAATTTAAAAAATGAACACATATGAAAAGGACAAATCAAATTTCAGAACAGGAGGAGGGAGGGAAAGGGGGGGAGGTAAATGTCTGTGAGCTAATGATATTAGAGGTGATAATTGGGGAAGCTATCTTTGTAATGGGTAAGATAATTAGCGTCTTTATTCAAATTTGCGTGTAAAGTGTCGAATTTAAGCATGAATGACAGTTCAGAGGATTCTCTTTGAAGGGAAGTCTTAAAAGGTCTTTGAAGCAGGATGCAGGTAATCAAGTCATTGAGACAATGTCCTTTCTGGTTGAAATGGCAAGAAACTGTTTTTTCTTTGTGATCCTGTCTGATATCTGTTTTGTGGGCATTGATCCTTTGGCGAAGTGTCTGAGATGTTTGTCCAGTGTACATAGCGGACGGACACTTTCGGCACATGATTGCATAAATTATATTTCTGGATGCGCAGGAATATGTGTTCTTGATCTTATAACTCACTTGGTTAGGTCCAATAATGGTATCAGCAGAATGAATATGTGGACAAAGCTGGCAACAGGGTTTGTTGCAAGGGAAGGTACCAGGGTTGGTATTAGTGTGGTATGTCCTGTGGTTGTTGGTAAGAATCATCTTGAGGTTAGGTGGTTGTCTGTAATTCGACACTTGACACGCAAATTTGAATAAAGACGCTAATTATCTTACCCATTACAAAGATAGCTTCCCCAATTATCACCTCTAATATCATTAACTCACAGACATTTACCTCCCTCCCCTCTTCCCCCAGCTCCATCCCCCTTCTGTTCTGAAATTTGATTTGTCCTTTTCATATGTGTTCATTTTTTTAAATTGTATCCTTTGGTATACATGGTTGTGACAATTTTCTTCCACTATTTGATCTGAGGAAGTGGGTCTGGCCCATGAAAGCTCATCACCTATTAAACCATCTTGTTAGTCTTTAAAGTGCTACACAGTCCTGTTTTTTGTTTAAGTTGAAATAAACAGTTTCATGGCATTAAGATATGTCAAAAGTGAAAATAATTATTTTACGTGTAATGAAATTTCCAGTAAATAAGTATTTGTAATTATTATCACATACATTGTCTTCTGTTCTAGATGATGGGGGATATGGATTTATAATTGTATGAAAAATACATATAATTTAAAATGTTTTCATTAGTGAAGTCCATGCAAATGTTTTTAGAGATTGCTTTCTAAGGTTTATTGGATAAATTATAACTTTTGGCATCAAGGTTATTGAAAACTTACATTCAATAACTGAAGTCTTTGAGTAGAATTAGAGTAATCCAGAAACATGAATTTTACTGTTTCAGGGGCTTTTTCTTTTTCTTCTTTCTAATCTGAAATACATTTCCGTCTCTGTCATCAGGGGATCAGAGGTGACAAGAATTCAGTGTTTGGCAGGTTATTTCATGTTCTAGTGCAAATGTCTGCACTCTAACTCCCACATAAATAAATACCACATGCAGCATTTATAGGGGTCTCAAACGTAAAATCTAAAATTTACTCAAGTCAAGAAGTACAGTTTGGATACTGAATCCTTCAGAGACTTTAACACAGAATGCCCTTGAACCGCCTTACTTCAGGTGTCCTAACTAGGGAAATAACAGCACAGTGACACACTTTCCCTGCAGCTTTTCCCTGCTTCTCCCATAGTGGTGGAGGTGATATCTGGGATCGATGCAGGGGGCGAAGACACATGTGCCTTTGGGAGTAGGGCACCAGTTAAGTCCCTTACCCACACACACATCCCTCACACCCCAACCCTTGCAGTATACTCCCTAGCCCAGCTAAATCTTAAATCCAGCATACCCGATTTCCCAGAGGTTCAAGGGTACATGTTTCTTAATCAAGATAAAAATTATTCAGAATTAAAACTTGCTCTGAAACAAAGTCTGTTCTTTGCTTGATCTACTATAAAATGCTTTATAGGTACTGGCCTTAGTCTTTCTTTTCTGGCCACTTGACATAGGAACTAGTACTTCACGGGTGGAGAACCTTTTTTGGAACAGGGCCCACTGATACACAGAAAAGTCAGTCGGGCTACATACAAGCGAGAACAAAAAAAAAATCTCTCATTGACGTGGCCCTCAACTGAAAAGAAGGACATTCTCCACATTCCCCTCCCACATCACAGCTTAGAGAGCCTAGCCTAGTAGATTTTGTGTGCTAAAGCCCCATTGTGGGGCAGTGACGTAGCTGGAGTGCCAGCACAGGCTCCCCAGTACTTGGGGGAAAGGGGTATCCCGAGCTTCAGGTGCTGGATCCAGGCAAACTGGGGGGCCACATCCAGCCCCTGCACACTGAGATTCCCCACCTCTACTTAACTGCAATGAGATGGCTAGCATCTGTAAGGATATCAAAGTCAGTGCTGCAGTAAGATAATTCTGTTGGAACTGCTTATAGATAAAACAATGTGAGTTTTTAACAGTGCTGGGGAAATCATTGGGGTTTTGCAATACAGTATATTGATTAATTTGTCCTCTAAGCCACTATTAGTTACAGATTATACTTGAAGAAAAAAATAGCTATAATTAAAGGGCAAAAGAAAACTATCCTTAAAGAAACCTCATCTAGGGAGCAAAGTCTATGATCCTTAATAGTGTATGAATTAGAAAAATATGGACAGTCTTCAAAATATGAAAAATTTACAAACTAACAATAGAGATCTCAATATACCAAAGACTACAAATAACTTCTAAAAAGGATTCTTGAGTGGGGGAAAAGGTCATTTAACTAGGAAAAATTGTGTTGTTTAGAACACTAAAGCCTCATCCTCCACACTAATCTGGTGTGCAGATACTTAGTCTTGCATGGACTTTTATGGAAGTCAACAAGAGTAAGTAGTAATATCCACATTTAGAACGGTTTGTAGGAAAAGATTTGGTTATTGCATTGGCATAGCCATATGATAAAGGTATCTAAATATTCAAAACAATGTAATGAAGTGAGACAACTTATTACTCTATTAATCAAAATAATCTGGAAGATAATTTTTATGTTTACATTAATACTAAGTAAGGCTTGTTTCACTCATTAATCCTTTTTAGAAGCTATTTTTAGTCTTTAGTATACACTTCAAATTTTCATTGGCTTGTTTGCAGTTCATTAATGTAATTTTTATGTTGTATATTTATTGTATTTGATAGGATGGGAATTTCTCCAAAGCCACAGACATAAAGCAAAAGCCTGAAGACGTGATAGTTGTTGGACAATCAGTGTTTGCAGATTTTGGTGAGTTTCTTCTTTCCTCCCCTCCAAAACTACTTGACACTTGAATTTCCTTTTTTATTGATTAGTTATATTTTTTTCTAGATTAGTTTAAGCATGTTATATATTTATCCAACAGATTGCAGTGGTTCCTTTGTAGGCATCATAGTTATGTAAATACATATATTATGTTCCTTTATTCTTTTCTTTTCTTCTATATGTAGAAAAACTGATGAGGTCAGTGAGTATTGTGTATGTGGAAGGATTTGATAATTTGGAAGTGGCTATTTTAGTTCATAATCTCAGACCTGTACCTCCTTGTTGCTGTGCAAGCCTAACCATTTACATCAGTGGACTATTCACATGTTTAAGGTTAAGTACATATAAACTGTTTTCAATATAAACATAGGTAGTTTATTTGGGATGAGATTATATTCCTCAGTATTTCACTTAAAAAATGAAATGGCTCAAAGCAATGTAAGCTTGCAGATGGCAAGTCTTCATAACCCTCTATTTCTTTGGTCAGATTTTCACAAAGTTTTGCTTTCCTTCAGATACCTAAATAAAGTGAAAAGTTTTTTTTTTTTAAGTTCTCCATGTGAGGGGATCCCAGGGGTGCAGGCTGACACTGTGGGACTGCTGTGCCTGCTTAACTCTCCAGCCTCGGCTGTTTCTCTCAGTGCTTTGCTAGTAACAAACAGCAAACCTCTCCTGGTGCTGTGATTGCTCAGCTTAACACAGTGTGGATCCCTGCACCCAGCTAGACTGCATGAATGCTCCCAGAGCCACTCATGAATCATACAGAGAAAAACATCAACCAAATCCCCCAGCTCCCAGCATTGTACCTCAGGAATATACTGTCTTTCACTGCTCAACACTAGCAGTGCAAATTTATTAAGTGGTTCACCCCTTCATCAAGAAAGTGGTCCTATTGAGTACCTGGTTGTGGGTGGGTGCAAACCTGCCCACAGCTAAAAGCCACTCCCCACCCTATGTAGGAGCTACTGAAGCCAGGACTCAACTGAGTTCAGGAGACAAAAAAGGCAAATAACCAGGAACAGATGTGAGGGTAAAAGGGTCAAAACTTAGAGAACCAATAGGGCAGTGTTTCTTAAACTTTTTGAGACCACGGAACACCAAACAATAATATTTTTTTATGTGCAACACCTATAAAAAATTTCTTTAAAAAAAAATTGTCATCAGACCAAAAAAAAAAGACAAAAACAAAGAAGTGACAAAAACAAAGAAGAGGTTGTGGCACACCTGGGAGTTGTTCACGGAAACAACTGTTTAAGAAACACTGCAATGGGGTATGCAGGAGTGTTGGAAGGCAGAGGTGTACGCTCTAGAACAGTGATGGGCCACCTCGGCTAGTCAGTGAGCCACATGAGTGATCCTCCTTCATCTCAGCATGTCGCAAGATGGTCATAACCAAGAAAATCTTCTGGGGTAGAGTAATTTTGCTAACTGCACTTATGTAGCTGGAATTTGCACGATGTCGCTGAATGTCGCTATAAGTAATAACCAAATAGAAATAATACAAACATTCACATTGCTCTTCGTTATCGCTTTTTTAAAAGCGCTGCTGTATTTAGCATGTAATTGTTTTCTTAAGAAATAATTTATTCAAAAGACATTCTCTACTTAAGTGTCCATAAATTGAGAAACTAGAAGGATGTATGAGAAACTAGGAGGAAACTGTAAAATAATATCAATGATTTCTATAAAGATTAATGAAACATCAACATTCTTGATGTTTTTAATTAGCATTTGTTTCAGAAAGCTGTAGAACAAAGGGAAAAAATTGTATATACATCCTTTTTCACTTTTAGAAACAAATTAATTCAGATTTTTCCTTTTGCTAATAATCTATTTGCAAATGCATGGATTTTTGTGTGTATATTTTAACAGCCCAAAGGAAATTGTTAAAATTAATTTTATTTTTGTTAATCAAAATTTTCCTTGAAGACACTATTCTGACATTTCACCTAATTTAACTTTCTTTAGGTCTCACATTACAAGATTTAAGTGTAATCATATATAATCATATAATTATTATTGTTATTATTTTATTTTCGAATACACTGAGAGGTATTTCAGCTAGTTATCCGTTTGATACCAGTTTTCACATTCAACAACCATAGATTTAACAAGTTTTTATTTTAACACCTTGTTGTTTTTTGACTTTATACTAAAATGTTATTTATTCTCTGTCATAACCTTAAATACTACAGTGCCAATGCTATCAATTTTAAATCAGTGATTCAGGTAATGTATATAAAATAGGATACATTCATGAGTTATTCTCTGGAACTAGATAATTTCTTTAGATATGATTTGCCCCATCACAGTAACTAGCAGTTTTATGGGCCCGATTCTGCAAACACGACTGCACAGTAATGGATTTACTTGTGATAGTTAGCTTTACCCTCATTATTGAGTATTCACAAGATCGAGCCCTTATTTAAATGTTGTGACATGGTTGATCTACTTTGTGGGTCAGTAATTTTTGTTTTAAATTTAGTAATGTTCATGAGGGAGTAAGAAGAAAGCCAATACTAGCACCAGACTATTTCTCTCTTATGCTGATACTTTAAAATATCCTCCATATTTTAGCACAATTTCATTTGACCTTTAAAGAGCACCTCTCCTGGGTGACTGAACTTTGCTGATCTGTGAGGTAGCTGCTGAATACAAGATTTATATATAGTATAACCAAGTAAAATAGAGTTAAATTATAGTTCCAGGTTATATTAAGAAATTTTATGTAATTTATTGTGCAAAAATCATTTAAAAAATTCAAGTTTTAATATAAATTTAGGCCATCTACAAACATTTGGATATTGCATGTAATTTGAAAGAAAGAACAGAACCTCAAAATATTCCAAAAAAATTTTATCCATTCTTTCCCCATTTTGTATTGCCGTGATGGATATGGCAGATGGTTTTGATTAGTGGCCTGAATATTAATAGGCAGAAAAGATGTCAGATTTCTTTTGAAAGATGTAAATCCAGAGGAACAATCTGAAATAGGATTTCTTTTCACCATGTGCTATAGTTAACAGAAGTGACTTACTATGGCCAAAGGATGCATCATAATTGTAGAAACATTGTCATAGTTGACAGACATTTAAGTTAACTTGGATCCCAGGATATCTGGTATCTTCAATATTCTTAAATATTCCTGATTTTGTGAGCATATGTTTTAGGAATTATAATAAGTATGTTCATCTAACTTCTTGAGTGAACAATCAAAATTTAGATGTTGGATGTTAAACCACAGTATAAGTGCAAAATTTGGTTCTAATTACTATTAAAAAAACCTGATGATTTTCATATTCTCTTTGTTGTAGTGAGAAATTGGGGCTACTGTAAGTGAAAAGTATCTTCAGAGGAGGTTGGGGGATAGCTTCAGCTTCTGATAATTTGAACCATGATTATGAAGTAATGCTGTAAAAAAAAAATTAGAAAAAGTTATTGTAGATACACAATAGTTCTTTTTCAAAGTAAAATAGTCTGTAGTTTCATTTTTTTCCTCTTATTGAAATTGATATTATAGTATTATGGTGGTAAGAATGTTTAGAATTTAAGTTGTGTAAATTGAAGGAATTTTTCAAATACCTGTATTAAAATTCAAGAATATCAAGAATGTCTAATCTGTTAGTTCAGTTTGGATGGGATAAAGTTGCATAATTCAAATAAAAACAAATGGTAGGTTTGGGTGATTTTTTTTTTAAGGGAGTGGCATTCGAATAAAATTTCTAAAACATGTGCAAGTTCTGTGAACTATAGAAAAAGTAGAGCTTTAACCTAGAGTAAATTTTTAGAAGCAGTGAAACTTAAAAATATAAGAAAGATAAAGGGTATATGTTTGTGAAGCCCTGATCTTGAGTGTCAGTTGCTTTCCTTATTTAATATGGGGTTGAAATCTGAGAAGCATTCCCTTGTGCATCCTAGCATTTTGGATCTCTTATAAATATGGTGGAGTAGTATATGCTGCCCTAATCAAAGCTGAGAATTTACAGTAGTCCTTTTTGTTATCTCTCTTATCAAATAACAAAGATGGCAACTTGTTACCACTGCCACTTTTAATTTGCTGTACTGAAATGGAAATATTTTTGTAACATTCATTTATTATTTGATTTATTTATGGTTTCTGATATACAAATACTTCTTAATTTGTTATATAAAAAGTTTCACACTTAGCAAAATTCTCTTGCTACTGTACATTAGAAATGAAAATCAGTAATACAAATTGCTTTATTTCATAATACAGTATTATCCATAAAACAGAATGAAGCTACATCTATCAGATTTGTGAAATATACTAGTCTGTGTGATGGTAAAATTCACAAGAAAAAAATATAATTAGATTTTATCCCAATTATAAATTAAGACTAACTACATCTTAAGTGTAAAAATGAGCGGGGAAAAAAACTTTCTGCATCCAAAGCTCTGTTGTATTTTCAAACAAACAAACAAACAAAGGACATTCAAATAAGTAAGTGTACAGCTTTTCTGCATAAGAACAGCCATACTGGGCCAGACCAAAAGTATCCTGTCTTCCAGCAGCAGCCAATGCCAGATGTGCCAGCGGGAGTGAACAGAACAGGTAATGATCAAGTGATCCCTTCTCCTGTCACCCATTTCCAGCCTATTACAAACAGGTTGGGGACAGCATTGCTGCCCATCCTGGCTAATAGCCATTAATGGACCTATCCTCCATGAATTTATCTAGCTTTTTTTTAACCCTGTTAAAGCCCTGGTCTTCACTACATCCTCTGGCAAGAAATTCTACAAGTTGACTGTGCACTGAATGAAGAAATACTTCCTTTTTTTGGTTTTTAACCTGCTACCTTTTAATTTCATTTGGTGACTTCCTCATTTTTGTATTATGGGAACAAGTAAACAACTTTTCCTTAATCACTCTCTCGATAGCAGTCATGATTTTATAGCCCTCTATCATATCCTCCCTTGGGTTCCTCTTTTCTAATCTGAAAAGTCCCAGTATTTTAATCTCTCTT